CAAAAACACATATCTATTTAATTATATCTTAGTAAGTTTATACATTGTTTATAACATGAACAGTTTTTACACCTGTTTATAAGCTTATTTAAAGCATTTTTTATTTGTTTATAGGTGTATTTATTTATTTATTTTGTTCCGCACGCAGTTATTGGTATTGCCCAGTCTTGCCGCTAGGAGTTGTTATGGTGTTATTTTTAATGGACACGACACGTGCGCGACACGCGACTGCTACATTTTTTTCAGAGATTGGTGTGTGTGTGATGCCATTTAAGGCTTTGTTAAATCATCAGTACTACCATGTACGCTGTTGTTCGTTTCCTGGACGATCACGACAAACGGTTACACGTCATTCACGTGCATGACATCGAGAAGTTTGATCCCAAAGACACCAGCGACTACGACAACCGCTTTGTTTACAGCGCGTACTGGCGAGACCCCGTGGATGACACAAACACTGGTTTGTACAACACGCAAGTCTTGATGCTGGCAGGTATGTGTGGTATGTGAAATGTTACGGTTCCAATTTTATAGTCGTAATTTCTTACAGAAAGCGAAGATGACGCCCGCGCGAAAATGCGGGCCAAGAGGTTGGTGATACCAAAAATACCTATGCAAGAAACGACGTCAGATGATGATCCTGATGAGCTCGTGGAGTCCCAAACAAAAAGAAAAAAGGCTGAAAGAAAGGTTGCTATTTATGCTGCCTACATTTTGAAACGGCTGAAAACTTGCTGGTCTTGCATTGATCATCATCTGTAATTGTGCTTTCGACTTCTTTCAGAAACAAAAGAACGACAGAGCAAATGCTAAAAAAACATGTATGACGAAATTCTTAAAAAGAATCTGGAAAAAGCGCACTCTGGGCGTAAACCTAGAGCACAGGTAAGTGTGCCATGGTCTTCATTAGTGCACTGTACTATAAAAGAAGCATTTTTTTTTACTGAAAGCAAAACCCTCATGAGACCCTTGAAGGCTACAGCTAGGGCACAATAAATAGACAGGGACAACAGAAGAAAGCACAAAGTGAAGCGCCGATACTTGTGTTGCTTCTGTTGTTCCTGTCTATTGTGCACAGTAGCCTTCAAGATGCAATACCAACTAGCCCACCAAGCCATCCTAGTGAATTCATGAAGTCATTTTTTGCATGATGAAATTTCAGCCAAGGAAAGGGACAGACACTCCGTCGGACAGCGGGTCCTCCGATAGTGATGAATTGTGCCCAAAAAGTGAAATTCTTCAAATGAAGAAGAAGAAAGACGTGTGGAAGGCGAGAACGAAGGCGCTGGTGGTTAAAGAGCTTGAGAAGGACAGAGACATGTGGAAATTGCGTGCTGAGGAGCTGCAGCACGACAACCAGTTTCTAAAGCAGCAGGTTGCAAGCCTGCAGAGATCCCTTGAAAGCAAGCTTTTCAAGCGTAAGAATGCTTTTTGCTCTGCATTATTTACTTGACAAAAGCTCCATGTATAATGATTACATGACAACTCATGTGCTACATAAAAACTTGTGCACCCTTTTTTTGTGTACATGCAGTTGCAGTAGAACAAGACCGGGTGCCTTGCAGTCGGGGCATGTTGTCAGGTTTGTTTCCCCATAAGAACTGCATACACCTATGCTCTTGAGTAAATGCATCAGTTCCATATTTCACTGGGACAGTAATATAGCATACTTTGACCTGTTTAATGAAGTCAGCTTTTTTATTATTTATTTATTCATATTTTGTCTAAGCAACTCGCTCAGTAGTATGTGCAAAGTAAAGGTTATAGAGATTTGGCTTTACTTGATGAACTTGCCGAACGAGTTCAAAGAGTGCTGCACTTTTTATTTGTTTTGAAAAAGTGCCCGCCAAACACAGCATGAATTAACTTTGGAGTGTAAGTTCAGCTGTTCTGCAGTAAGATGGCAGCTTCAGTCAGTATGTAATATAGAAGATGCTAGTGCCATGATAATGAAATGATGTTGGTTCTTTGAAAGTGGAGGTGGATAGATGAAAGTAAAGTTTGAACTGTAAAACAGAGTAGCCAATCGAGAAAACCTCGAACGAACAAAATTTTTCCTTGGTATGGTTTATCGCTATGTTACATTGTGATTTTTGGTTTGAAAGTCCGAAGTGAATTGACTTGGAGATGTGCACCTCATCGTAGCTTTTAGAAGCAGCCAATGCTCTAAGGCACGCTCTGACTAGCATGAAGCTTTAAACAAAAGCATCCAGATTTAACAGGCTTGAGGGGTTGAAATCTAAACTTTTACACCTGAATCATTTTTATTACAGCACATTCTGAGACAGATGAAGGAGAAAGCTTCGTCGGAAGTGAGTACTTTGCTTCTTTTATAATACTTCCCTGCATTTCAAAACTGGAGTGACAGTTACTGTCACTATATCTTTGTAACTTTAGATCTGTTGATTATGGACAACATGGCCTGCAGTGAACGTGTTCTCCGTAAGTAACAGCTCTGGTTTCATAGACAGTAAACTTTGTTTCAATTAGAGCAAGTTGTGCACCAAGATAAGCCATTTTTGAATAATTCTAAATGTTGCGTAGCACCGTGCTCATCTACTGCTGTAGAACCAGAGGAAAGGACAAGCACTGTTGGTGGAGAAAAGAACACTACACATCCAGGTCAGCTCAGATGTCACCTCAGATATTCTGACAATAATTTTTTTTTTTTTGTGCCATGACAAGGACCTGATATCTTTCTTGCAGGCCCAAATGGAGATTTCATTTATATGGAAGATGGCTCTGTAAGTAATTTGCTCGAAATTTAATGTCACTGTCTGCAGCTGCTTTTCATGCTTAACCGTTTTTTTTTCTATTGGTAGTCACAGCTACTCTATAGATCTAGGTGGTATAGTTAATTACGAAAGCTTTCTTAAAGCTTCTTGCTTGCAGCATCTTTACCATTTTTATTTTTTTAGCATGCTCAAGTCTTCAGTTTTACTCAGTGTACTTTTTGAGAGAAGTATGAATACCGTTGGGACCAGCACACAGTTTTTCTTTTTTATTATCAGCAATAGCAAGGTGTACAGTGCTGATCACACCTGTCTTGAGCACCTGAGCAGTGCTGTGTGGATGAAATATGGCAAAATTCTAAAGCAGATACTCAATTTCACTGATACTTCTTGCATTCATGTGCAGTTGAATATACTAGATGAACCGCACAGGCTCAAAAGCATTGTCTCTAACAGAGTAACCAATAACATTTTACTGCATTTGATTTGCAGCACACCACTTGTGCACCATAGACAAGTGTGATAGACTGTACATACTATTCATGTGCTACATCGTTGTGTTGTGCCAGGTGCATTGGTTAAACAATTTGTTAGTTTTGTTGTATGTTTAGCAGAAGTAACATGCAGCATTTTTTGTTTCATTGCTCCTTACAGTAGGGATTTTCCTCCATTATTTTGCTTTTTCACAGTTCCATTTGACGAAAGGCGTAACAATAAGTGGTGTGTGTGCAAAAAAAATATTTGGGAACAAGAAGGCTACCTTGGTGGTGAAGGATGCTGCCCACGCTATATGGGGAAGCAACGTTCTTGCATCTAGGAGCGTCACAGGGACCGTTGGCTCCAGGAAGAGAGCATTGGGGGAGCAGCCCAAGCAGCCGCTGACACCGGAGAAACTTCTTGTTGTGTCAGGTACAACTAGCATGAATAGTTTTCCACAGCGCATGCAGGAAGTCATCTTTACACAGCCTGGCAGCATGAACGAAAATGAAAGAGTGAAATTCATGCTGTTTGCTTTGCGAGTTGTCAAAACAAAATTTTGGTATATAGGGTGAACAGAAGTTGCACTTTGTACTGGAAATATGGAAAGATATCTCTGAGTTTGGGTTAAATTTGATGGGGTGCATGGTAGGCTCCTATGCTCAACTGACAATCTGTTGCACATGAAACTGTGCACCAAATTTAACTGCCATCAGCTGCCGAACAGGACAACTTGGGTTTTGTGGAGCTTGTGAAACTAAGTCATGCACATTCCTAATCCAGTGATGTCGGAGCTTTAGTGCTCAAACCCAAGCTCTGCCTCTATGGTGTGGCAGTTGTCGTTGCCGCAATCACTACTTTTTGTTGTCTAATGCTCAAAATCGACTCGTCTGTTTGTAGAAACACTCAAGCACTGGGGACAGCAGAAAGACGTCAACACTGCTGACACGGAAAAAAATCTGCCCAGGATCCTGGCTGAGAAGATCCAAGATCTCCTGAAATCGAAAGTGCGCAAGCAGATGTTTGACGATCAAGCACAATAAATTCTTAAACACTAAGGCTGTTTGTTTAACGCCCAATGCATGCTGTTAACTTGGCACAGGAATGTAGAACGTGCAAGTTACAATAAGCACTGACTTACTAATCGAATGGCACAACCATCTGGATAGCCATAAAAGTTATGTGCTTGTAACCCTAAAGTTGCTAAATTGGGCAGAAACATGCATTTGAGTTCGTTTGGGCACCACCTTGTTGATTGGGGGCGTCCTCCATCTCGGTGAGTAACAATTTTGTTGCATGTATGCAACCCTGAGCTGAAACCAGTAGCTGCTGGTTTCGGATACTGGTTTCAGTGACTGGTTCCATCAGCTACTGGTTCCATTACCTACTGGTTCCAATACCTACTGGTCCCATCACCTACTGGTCCCATCACCTACTGGTCCCATCAACTACGGGGAATGTGCTAATAAACCATCAATACTGGAACCAACAGAAAACCAACAGGAAATTTTCACCTGGGTAACTAGAGCGTATGTAAATAAAGCCGAACATGCCGTTCGCGGCTTTGGGCTAGGATTGAGTTCCGCTGTGTATGCGTTCAACGAGGAGCTAACAAAACACTTCAGCTGACGCTTTGGAATAATCGCACTGCTTCGGGGCGGTTACACTAAGGCCGGACATCCACCCCGTTCTGCCTACCCGGGTCAAACGGAAGCGCGCGCTATCCAGAAACTGCCGAATGCTGCGCGGTCTTGTCACAAAGTCGAGCAGGCACAAGCAACTCGTCCTCACCCTCGCCAACGTCGCCGCTTTCTTGTTCGTAGCAGGCAGAGTCGAATCGCAAAGGCGAACAGCCGGCAGCGGCTGTCAAATCGGTGGAAACGCTTAGCGTGTTCATGGCATCGGCGGCTCGCCACCTAGAATAGGCGTGTCTGTGCACAAGCGTAGCAACGTTATCGGAGCCGGCCGGTAGCGACACTGCCCTTAAAGCCGGGATGTTCGTTGATCGCCGCCGGGTAGGCGTGTCACGGCGGCAGTGCTATTATTTCTCTACTACAAGACAATGCCGTGAAGCGACCGCACAGGATGTGACAACCTGCCAAGGTCGTTGCCCGTACGTCGCAAGGTCGAATATATGTTAGTCGATCTTTCACGCTCACTTTACTCGTACACTTATTAAACGTTCAGCCACCACTGTTCCCATTCTTTGAGCAAAAGTACTGCAAGTACTTCGCCGACAAGAGATTGTCGGCGTTATTTTGAAACAAATACAAATGAGGCATCGCCAAGCGACTAGCGGATGGCTACCGTTGTGGCCTCGCTCGACTGCAATATCAATATGTGAATTTTGCTCGCTTCCCACTCAACTATAATAGGCTTTTAAAACATTTTAGTGTTCGAGAGTTCTCTTTTTAATAACGTCAGTCTCAAACAAAACAAACAAACAACTGACACTAGCGCGCGTATTTCAAACACTGTTAATTGTGGCAGAAAATAATCGTGCGGCTCGGTTAAATACTTAACGAGTAGCAAAACCTAACAAAGTGGAATGAACAATTAAAGGTTGCCCAGCAGCTATGACGACCATTTCATCGCGATAATCTGCGTCCACCACACTGAAGTCGCGACGCCGGCTAAAGAATTCGGAGAGTGAGCCGTCGCCGGGTGTAAATATAGCCGCAGCTTGGTGGAAGAAGACGGGTGTATCGCCGCTCGTAGAGGCGCGCTCTGCGGCATATCTGAGGGCCCTTTTGTTCGGCTGGATACGTTGAAGGGCCTGTGGTATCGCTGAACGCAAGCCGACACGCATGCATGAAATGAGCGCGCGGGAGAGGGTTGAACTGTTGCGTACGGCTGATATTTCTCATTCGTCGACAATGAACCGAGACAGTATACAACGAAGTTCTATATAGGCGTTTTTTTTTTCTGTCTAATTAAGTTTATACCAAAACAAGGCATTAGTGTGTATGCATTGCTGGTTAGTCAGTTGCAATACAACTCGTAATTCTCAGATTCGTCGAAGGCGACGTAATGAACACCAGCTGTTCGGGGGGGATTATGCAGCAAGGGACGAATATAACGCGAAAGTTTTATGTGTTCCTTTCGTTTACACGCCTTATCGTACACATGACAAATTGAAAACGTGAAGCCAATATGGAGTAAAACCACGCGCCAATATGATTGTCAAGCATGCTTTAATAGTGAGCGAGTTTGGACTGATCATGACAACACGGGGTTCGTTTATGTGCACTTGAACTCCAAGTAAACTGGTGTTCTCGCATTAAACGTCAAAATGGAGCCACCGTGGCCGGAAATCGTATCTTCAAGCTCAGTAGCGCGACATCTTACCTGTTAAGCTGGCTCAGGGCCGTAACAGGGGCGTTGAGGGGGTTAATTCTGAGTCCTCCCGAATTTTTTTTAATTATTTCACTTTTTGGGTCATGTTAAAGTATTTACACGCCCTATCAACCACTAGTTGCCAAAATTAGCTGTTCTACACAAAAACGCCCCCCGGAAAAGATTCCTGGGTACGGCTCTGGCCTATAACTCGAACCAAGTTTTGTCAATGCAACAGTTGAGCGCTGCCAGGTTAAAAAAACCACGCGTTGGTTTGAGGAGACAATTGCTAATGACAAGCGCGGAGCCACGGCACAACAATCCCGAGAGCGGAGGTGCGTGGTCTCGGCGAAGCTCGAAACGAAAATACTTCTGACCAGGAATACTGGTGGTGCCTGGCGGCCGTCCAGATACCTCTTACCTCTGGTTGAAGCCCGCAAAGGTGTAGTGCACAACTGCGGCGTTGCTCACCAATGAAACAATAAGAAAACGAACCTTAGAATGTGGCAAGCTGAAACTTACACTCGTCAAGTTTATGCCTTATGGAACGGTGTACAAACTACCTGGAAGATGAAAATACGAAGCCCTAGAACGAAGCAGTCGGACTTGTTTTCTTATTACGCTTTTATGAAATCACCTAGATATTCCGGTTAAAGACCCCGCTTGGAAGCGAAACCAGCATCAAAAAATTACACACGCGGTACACGTGCACATTCCAACTTTTGCATAATATGTAAATGTTGCGCGAGTTCTATCGTGAAGAGTCGAGGCTAAGAAAAAAAAGGGGGAGGGGGTTCCGAAATGACGTAACGGCAGGCGTTGGAATAGGCAGGGTCATATGCATGCCAAAAAGTCGCGCTATCGTGTTACGCACGCCGGAAAACCTATTTCGGTGCACGCAGCAGACGACAGCTTTCGTAGAACGTCGTACAAAGAAAAAAGATTGGAAGGCGGACGGGAGGCACACGATGTGAGAAACGGGGTGACAATTGTTGAAGCACCCACCCCAGTTCGGTGACACGCCCCGCCGAACTCACCGCGCTCCATCGCTGCTACTTGGTTTCGCGCCGATAAAAGCCAGGAGCAACGACGGCGGTGGACTGCCTCACACTGAACGGGCCGCGGGTCAACAGATGAGATGAATCGAGTCAATGAATGCCCGGCGCATGCGCTGCCGCAGAGAGGCGTCCGTGCGGTCGCCGGCCGACAGGGCGCTCCGCACGTGGCGCTCCGGTTGTTTCGAAACCAACCACGAGAGCGAACCAGAGTGCGAACAACCGAGAAAGCACAGGGTAGAGGACGCTACGCTCGTACTTCAAAGCGGGCGTTTCGAACTGTTTTAGGGGCGAAGCTCCGGCACCCGTTCGTCCCTCGTAGCCGTTGTAGTGTGTAACAAGTATAACTTTTTAGCTTCCAAGGTGGCGCCGGTGAGAGATTTCTTCTGTGCGTTGTTGAACAATTGAATAGTGCTCGATGTACATGCAATGGCTGCTAATGGGGAACGAGAGACAGGAGCATTCGGCACGCTACGATCCCCATTAGCAGCCATTGGCATGTACATTGAGCACTATCTGACAAGAAAGGGTTGCTACGTTATACTCGCTGGATGTAACCTACTTAGTTTTAGAAAAGTTTAGCTAGCGTTGAGCCGCAGTGCCACGAATACAATTAATTAGTATATACCATGAACTCGAGGGAATTAACGTGGGAAGTAGAGACGAAGCGCAAGCCGTAAGAAAGTGTGCGTGTGCCACCTCTCGTTTAGTCATTGGAATGCCCGCTGGATTGCGGTGATTCTATATGGAAAATATATGATGAAAAGATGCGAGATGGTGGTACTTGGAATGTTGAATAGATGGACGAACGGACACACAGACAGATGCATGAATGGACGCATGAACGGACGCAGGGGCGGATGCATGGACGAACGCAGGGACGGACGCACGAACAGACGCACGCACGGACGGGCGGATGGACGCATGGACGGTCACACAGTTGGACGCATGGACGGACAGAAGCAAAAACGAATGGACGGACGAATCCTTCACCCCACTCTCCATCATTCACTCCATGGACATGCTGCCAATTTTTTCTTCTTCTTGCTCGTCGCTAAATCTCAATAGGTCTGTCTACGTAAGCATGACAGATATAACGATGGGGGTGAAGAATAGCAGCACAACTTGTCATCAATATATGAGCACACCATACGTTCGACGCACTGAGAACGAACGTGAGATAAGCGAGCGGATAACTTGAACGACCATGGATATGGTCATTGAATTTTATCGTGGTTTCTCACATAATCTTGTTTTATAAAAGTTAAAACATGCACTACTGTGGCGTTTAGCTGAATACAAGAATTAGAACCAGCGCGATTTACATTTGTAGCGTCCAAAAACTTCCTGAAATATAAATGCAGGTTTTGCATCGAAGATTTGTGGGCCTCCTCGACCGTGTAAACTCGTCATTGTGTTCCGTTTTTTTTAACTGCCATGAAATGCACCGCCCAGAGTTGAAGAGACTTTCAAATTGTGTGCCGTGGATTTTTTCATTTGATATAGAACACACAATCTTCGAAGTATGTAAAGTCCCTATAGCTGAGGGACCTTAGAAGTATGAAGGCGTGCGCGCATAGTTGCGGTGCTAGCGTTGTTACGACCGGGGTTTGCAGGCACCGGAGATCCGGGATGAAGTTGCCGAGGCAGGAGGAAGAGAGACTTGGTGAGGGTTTATTTACATTATGTACAAGGTGAGCTCTCGTACATGACGAGCTCTTTCTTACATGGCGAGCTTTCGAATCTGGCGTTCCTCTACATGGCGCTCCTTCGAATGAGCTGGGTAGCTCATTATAAACGGTATGTTCTCCTCAATTCCCTAGATCAGGGAACACGTGCAGATGGTACTGTCCAATCACAGATCACACACAACAGGTGCGGGGGACGAGCATGCACGGCCCACGTGAACGTCCAATATTGAGGCGTGATCACTGCAAACCAAGGTGGCGCCAGCGGGGCTCTTCCTCGTCGTGTGTGTGCCGCTGGTTGAGGGGTCCCAAGCTCCTGACAGCATACTTCAAAGCCGCCGAACTGCTCGCTTAATTAGCGGGGCGATTTGCGGCCGCCGCCGCGGTCTCTTCCAAGGAAGATGCTGTATTTGTTGTCCTCTCTCAAACGGCTTACGGCCTCGTGGCGACACGACGTCTCACCCTCCGGCTAGGAGGGACAATGCCTGGCGGGCATAGGCAGCCGGCTGGTCGGCTACTTGTTTGAAGATGCAAAGAGCGCCGCTCCCTCGTCAGCTCGGGCGCCCGTCACAACAGCGTACACTGCCGCTGGCCATGCAACTATTGACGATTCAGTGATTGCTGGGTATATTTTGTACCAACTTTGTGAAATTGCGCTCGCATCGATCCTAATCTACTGGTGCTATGAGCACGACATATGCTATATTGCTTCAGCACTTCCCCCCTTTTTTTAGCTCCTGTCGAATTACGCCGGCGTGCTGAATGAGTTACACCTGAGTCGTTCGGAGAAGTGAAATGAGTGGTGCAGTTGATATGGTTGCGTTAGATTACGTGGCAGTGGTTTGGAATATTAGAGGGAAGAAGAAAGGAAAGAGGCCGTTTTTACTTACTGCCACTCCAAAAATAGAGGTTGAGGACAGAGCAGGAGTCCTCACGTCCGTGGCCGTCGTCGACTAAACGACGAAGGCTGCCTCAAAAACAAAAACAGCAAAAAACAGCATATCTATGGAGTGAAAAGTGATGAGTGGGGCGAAGCGTCTGTGTGTCTGCCGGGCCGTCTGTGTTTCTGTCCACCTGCCCACCCGCTCCTATCACCTCGAGCACGCATCTTACAACTAGG